TCCCAGCCCCAGTATCATAAAGCATAGTAAGAGTATAAAGCTGAGAAAGTAGCTTAATAGCTGCCACAGACCATCTGTTGTCTACTCAACATCATACACATTCTTCTACACGTATTTGAACATCCAAGCAACAAAAACAACCTTCTTTTTCTGCCTAACAAAATTGTACAACTATCTTTGAATGAAGAGCCTCTCATCAAAATAAAACCACAAAGTTTTTAGACTTCCAGGATACTTCATCTACCAATTCCTAAAGCTTTCTGGAGTTTCTCTTCTACAAGCACTTAGGGTTTTGCTGCTTCTACTCCTCCATCAACTTTTCCTTTTTTAAAAAATGTGTTGACATTGCTCATCTTTTGTTGTCCTCTTGTCTCTTCTGTTCTATTTCTCCTTTAGATTTCTTACTTTTTATTCTACTTCTGTCATTTCAGTGAGTTTGGGGAAAGGAGAGGATAATGATTATATCTTGTAGCTAATGCTATTGATGTCACATTCCGCATTCTCTAGGCCTCTCTCTGACTACAACTGCAGTCTTGGTGACCAGTTTTCATATATGCTGATATATTCTGAAAGTGCCTGTTTCTCTACCATGACTGTTTTCTCTGGGGTCTTTAGATTTGTTCAGCCTATGTGCAGGACAGCCTGGAAGTATCAGGGACTAATGTCCAGGGCCAGTCTTCAACCACTGAGGGCAAGAGCCATTGGAAAAATATTTCACTTTCCTATCCCTGGAAGGACAATTCTGAGGCACCCAGCAAGATTGAACCTCATTTTCCCTCAATGGCAACTGGCTTATTAATATACTCCTTATTGAGTTTTGTCCCTTCTTTATTTCCCACTCCCTCACTTGTGCTTCTTGGGATCACCAGTCAAGTTAACTATCTGCATCCAAGACTTTTTCTCATAGCCTGCTTCTTGGGGAACCCAAACTAAAACATATTCAAATTACTTTGCATACAAATATATTCTTCCTCCTCCTCCTCCTCCTCCTGCTCCTCCTCCTCCTCCTCCTTCTCTTCCTCCCCATCTCCCTCCCCCCCTTCCTTATTCTTCTTTTAGTCAAGATCTTACTCTGTCACCAGGGCTAGAGTGCAGTGGCATGCTCATGTCTCACCACAGCCTTGACTTCCTGGGCTCAGGTAATCCTTCTACCTCAGCCTCCCTGGAAACTGGGACTACATGCATGTACCACCACACTGGGCTAATTTTTTGTAAAGATGAGGTCTTGCTATGTTGTCTAGGCTGGTCTCAAATTCCTGGGCTCAAGCAATGTTCCTGTCTCAGCATCCCAAAGTGCTGGGATTACAGACATGAGCCACTGCACCCAGCCAATTCTTTATGTTCACTTATTTATGGAGAAACAACAATTTTTCTAAACACTGTAAAATTGAACTGGTAACTTATATTACTAATTATTTTGTCATACATATATACTTATGTGTATATATGTACATGTACACCAGTGTATATATATGAATGTATCTATCCATATATACATAATTCACATTTGATCTTAAATTGACTGTAGAAACTGTGACTTCCACTTATGTATATTGCCAGAGCCTAATACAGTCCAATGCAAACAGTAGGTACTAACAAATGTTTATTTTTCTTTTTAAATTGAGACAGAATCTTGCTATGTTGCCCACGTTGCTCTCAAACTCCTGGGCTCAAATAATTCTCCTGCCTCAGCCTCCCAAAGTGCTGAGATTACAGGCATGAACCAGTGCACCCAGCCCTAAAAAGTTAGTGTTTCTTGACTGATCGTTCTTATTTTTAGGCTTCACGTGCAGTATACATAATTGTATATGTAAAATCAATATATAAAGTTGATATTAGATAATTTATAAATGAATAAATAGTTAAATTTAACAAACATTTGCATACTTCCCATATGCAAAAACATGATGCAGACTATAATGTCAGAATGTGAGAAGTTGATGTGTGGTAGGCACTAAATAACATGATTAAGTGAGAAACTGAGTTTATAGACATAAATACTTTATTATTTCAGAGAAGGGAAGGATTAGGGTGGAGTTGTAAGCATGATTGCAAATAGCTTCTAGAAGTAGTAATTACTTGAGACAGGCCTTGAGGAATTAATAGGATTTAAATAGGTGGGAAAGAGCAGGGCATTCCAGGGTTGGTGTGCAGGGTGAAAAATCAGTGGTGAGAAATCAGTGATGGTAAGCGTCAAGAGCCCTACATTCATGGAGAGTGAAGCTAAAGGGACCTGCATGCACATGGGGTACATGAGAAGTGAGAAGAATGGCCTGCTTGAGAGTTTGTTTCCTGTTAAGTAGCAATAGAAAGTAAGCAATGGAGGGCATTTGAACTTTGACACTGAGAGGGAGTTTTTAAAGGATTTCTGAAAATAAACTATAAAGTAGTAATTGAATTGAAGATGACTAATTTGGCATGTTACATAGACAGCAGGGGTGGAACAAGGTTGATGGCAGAGGAACCTGGTACAACTTGCTTTCTAGAATCTTCAGAACCCTTTAGTTTTCTGTGTAACTAAACATTTTTCTTTATGAGATACTGTACTGTGCACTTAAAATCATTATTTTTTATTTGTCATCAGACTTATTTTAGGTCATAGTAGTTGATTTCTTAAACAAGTTAATAGTTTTAACCAAAGCCCAAGCAACCGAAAGATTGCAGTCTTTTCCTCCTGGGCTATTGGAAAAAGTGGTTGATAGAAATAAGATGACTTCAGTCTGATTTGTTTCATTGAATTTTAAACGTTTAATTTTAAGCATTTGGGCTAAACAGTAAAATTACAGCTATACAAATTACTTTATGCATCCCAATTTTGAGACTTAGATTGTTATGAATATTTTCACCTAAAAGTCATGTCATTCTTAGTTGTCCTAGCTTACATATTGCTAAATTTTAAGATGATTTTATTACTTATGGAACAAAACTTTTTTTCTGTTTTTCTCACGTGTAAACTGAAAGTCAGTAGAAAAATATTTAACTGAAATTCATTTTTAAGGAATGCTTTTATGTAAATATGATGATATGCATATACAGTTTGGAATACCATAGATGTAGTAATCTAGGATTCTGCTAAAAGTATACTAGTTTTCTGTTTTGTTTTAGAGATGGTGTCTTGCAGTGTTGCCAGACTGACCTCCAATTCCAGGTTCAAGAGATTTTCCTACCTCAGCTTCCCAAATAGCTGGGCCCATGGCACTGTGCCTGGCTTATATTAGTATATATTTTTTTTACTTTTACTTTTTAAATTTTAAATATGTGGGGGTACAATTCAGGGTTAGGTATAAAAATTATTAGTATTTTTAACAAAACCTTTTACCAACTAAATATAACTTGGCCATATATAAATGAGGAATATTTCAGGAGAGGTTATTTTTCATCTACCTATTTTCTGCTTCCTTTCATCATTAAATAATTAAACTATATTCAATTTAGAAAAATGAAGGCATCACTTTTTCTTTAATCTTTGTGCTACAGTTTTTCCTTTCACTCAACAAGCATTAATTAAATACCTCCCTTGGGAATGGCACTGTTAAATGCTGGGACACAAAGATGAGTTGTGAAATCTTCCAAAGGAGACCTTTGTCAGGTAGGGGGTAAGACTTGTAATAAATGAGATGCAAAGTGTTATAATTACTCACAGGGCTTCAAATATGGTAAAATAGACAATAATAGGATAGGGTGAGGAAAGTAGAGGGTCAGGGCAATCTTTAAAGAGAAAGTGATACTTGAATTGAGTTTTAAAAGATGAAAGGATTGAGGAAAACTGGAATTTCTGGTGGAGATAACAATATATGTTTCTTGACTTGTCTAATTCCGTGGTATATACCTGCAGCTTTTTGGCTCATGCTAACCTCTAACTGTGGGTGAAGATGGAAAGGAAGATTTTTACAGTCAAAATGTGCTTTTCTTTAGTAACTAAAAGTGATGAGAATAGTCAGATAAATGTGTATTATGAAATATTTTATGATCTACATGGTGATGTATTATCACTTGATAGCAAATTACATGATATCTCTATCCTCTTCCTTTCAGGAGCTTCAAATCATATAATCTTCCTTTTGCCTTCTTTCACATAGTTAACATTTCTAATTTCATGAACTCAATTTCACAAACATAATTTTCTTTCTTTTTTTTTAATATTCAGGTTCAAGTGAAACTATTAGAAAGCAAGCCCCAGCACTAAGAGTGTTGATAACAATTTGCATGTACAAATTTAGACCTGGTCCATAATTCATAGATTCAATAGATATTCCTAGATCAGGCCCTCCTTAAATTTCAGTTTCTTATAATTCCTCCAGTTCCTTCTATTTGTAATAAATATTGTTTATCTGTCATATTCCAGGGACTATTCTGGGTACTTTAGCGATATTAATGACTAGAATGGATGAAGATCTCCAACCTAATGAAACACATTTTGCTCATTGTCAGAACAACTCAGAAAGATTGTTTATTTTCTTCCATGTAGACAAAGGATTTATTAAAATTATGCTGCTACCTATAGTATTGAGTTTCTTTAACGTGTCTCACATAGACATTGGGGGGTGGGGAAAAAGAAACCATTCTTTATTTCTGGGGTAAAAAAGTCTTTTTTGTAGCTGAGGGTTCTGTAAGGATAGGCCAGTGTGATATGGCATATTTTCCTAGTTTGTCTTGCAAAAGATGAAAGTTTGAAAGTACTAAAAATAAGGTGGTTTCAGAGACAGATAAGTGGGTGAAGGGAGAAATATTTAAAGACAAGTTATTTGAAGCTTCCCTTGCCTTGTGCTTCAGTGAGGAGAAAGGGAGAAGGCAGCTACCAAATGACTAAGGCATCAATTATAGCTTGGGTGTAATTTAAATAGGCAGAATATAGAAGCATAGTAAGAAAGCAGAAGGGCTAAACAAGAAAGAATTCTGTCATGGCATTAAAAAATCCTGTTTATTAAAATACAACAGATTTGAAATAGAGTATTTTCAGTTTAATTTTCTGATTATGTTTCTTGTTTGTTATTTTATAGATGGTGGGCCTACTCCCTCAGAAAAAAACCCATCTCTGCCAACAAATATGAGTTTAGAGAAGAGACCAGACAGTACCATTACAAATACTGTAACAGAATACCCCTTGGAAATGCCTCTAGAAAAGCAATCAGCTACAAAAAGTTGTAAAATATTAACAACATTACCAGCATTTTGGTCATCAGGTAAAGAGGAATGTATCAGTCCCAATTTAAGAATATCAAAGTCGGATTCTACTTTCAATAACCAGGCCTCTGTAGAGACACTGTATGCCTCTCCCTCATTCAAAATATTTGACCCAGCGAAGGAGACTGTAATTAATAAGGATTATCAGAAACCAACACAATCCAGTATTGTTCAGATGGATGATAAAAACCTCAAGGCAACCACATGGGGTGAGTCAAAACAAAAAATCTCTTTTGAAGTATTCTTTTGCTTTTCTCTGCTTTCTGTTTCTTTTTTTTTGTTTCCTCCTTTCACTCTTCATCTGTGATATTAAAATGTGCATGCATGCAGGCACTTCTCAGAAGTGTCCCTTTTATTAAAGGGCTAATAGAAAATTCATCATTGTGGGTTACGAGTGTTTGGTTGAATATATTACCAGAAGTTCTGAGCAATTTCAATACAGACCAAGTTAGAAAGAACTAGCATGAAATAAGAGCATCTTGTTAGCCACCTAGGTTATTTATTAAAAGATTATGAAAAAGAATGTTATTATGTATATCGGTGTGTAGACACATACAATGTATATACACACAAATATATATATATATATACACACATATATATCTATTTTAAGAGCTGTGTACTGATTGCATAAAAGGGGCAGAGGATCTTATCCTTTATTTTCTTTATAAAACATTAAGAGGGTTGTAGTACTGTTTAGGCTAGGTGATAAAAGATAAATCCAGTTGAGATTCTAGGTTGTTGGCTGTCACTTGCTAAATCCTGCATGATATAATAATGCTTTCTTTCCTTAAAGTTAATTAGTAAAAGAATAGTTTGTGGCTTAAGCATTTTTCAAAGACTGAGTAGTAGTTTTATGGTTTTTTATGTATAATAATGCTTACCAACTCATATAAATACAATACTTTTAATATTAATGCTTTAAATAGCCTCAAACTCAGATCAAAAGTTCATATAAATACAAACAATGGAAACCACCATACTGATGCTAGTAAATGTCAATGGAAAATAAAAGATTCTCCTTATTGCTCTTTCAAGAGACTGCTAATTACTGCTGTGAATGCTAATGTGGAAACAAATTAGTACTGGTTATGATGGCTGTGATGGCTTATATGCATGGCTATCCCCTGAGAAATTGTTGCTTTGGTTCATTTCTCTCATAAATACCACAAAAAGATAATGAAACCACTTCTTGGTCATTATAACAAGTACACTTAAAAATGAAATTTAGCAAGCAGTTTCTCTAAAACCAGTTAGCAAGGAGGACTTTTGCTTCTGGTTATAATAAAGTAGGTAGTAGTGTTCTAATCCTACCACCAATAAAAATATTAAATCTGGGAAATTATTAAAAGCTGATTTGAAGTCATCATAAAACAGCCAAGAAAATATGTAATAAGTCAAGATCCCAGGAAGAAGAAAATTGAGATGAGGCCCACAATCACCTTCATTTTCCTCCCTTAGGTAATTTGCCTATTACCAGAGCAAGATAAAAGATGCTGAAGGAAAATCAGAGACTTGGGTTTTTCACAGCCTCACTGAGCTTGGGAGACAGGGTTGAGTTTGGGACTTCCAAGGTGTCAAGGATTTAAGGGGCCCATATTCCAGAGGAGAGGGAATCACAGATAAGAAATTCTAAAAAGTCTTTTTGTAATTTCTTACTGAAACATTTGCCTACTGCTAAGCTACATATGTTCTGGATGAGATGCCAAGAAACTCAGTGAGAAGAGTTTTGAAGAGTCCAATGAACTAAGCAGAGATTCTGATGATCTTGTGATGCGAGGAGACAAATGTTGTTCAGGATATACCAAATTGTAGAGGCCCTGGTAAATACTCCAGGCTTTCAGTTGGGACCTCTGACAGGATACACCTTAAGCATCAGAACTGTACTCTAGGAGTAAGGACAAACCATAAGTAGAACAGCCCTCACAAAAACTAAAACCTGTTTACCTAGACCAGAGTGATTGACTTGTACTTCATCAGCTTTCTAAATCCTTTCTTAAAAGCTTTAACATTTTTTCATGAAAAATCTCAAGCATTAACAAAAAATTACTAGACATACCAGAAAATGAACAAATAGCCAGAAATATAGGAGAAAACAGACAACAGAAACAGATCCACAGATAATCTAGATTTTTTTGTTGGTTGAGTTGGAGTCTCACTCTGTCACCCAGACTGGAGTGCAGTGGCCAGCACCGCAGCCTCGACCTGCTGGGCTCCGGCGATCCTTCCACCTCAGCCTTCCAAGTAGCTGGAACTACAGGCACGCGCTACCATGCCCGGCTGATTTTTTGATTTTTATTGTAGAGATGAGGTCTCGCCAAGTTGCCCAGGTGGGTCTCGAACCTGCGGGCTCAGGCAATCCACTCACCTCTAATAATCTAGATTCTAAAGGTGTAAGCTAGGTACTTTAAAATAATTATGATTAATATGATCAAGAAGACAGTGAAAAAGATGGAGAATTTCATCAGAATACTAGTATCTGTTTTAAAAAATGAAAATCATAGAGTTGAAAAATATAGTAGCTGGAATTAAGACTCTGAAATACTCTTTAGTTTACATAGCCTGGAATGTCAACGAGAGAATTCAATGCTGGCAGAGAAGCTGGAAAGTTATGAATGAAATCCTAAGAGGGAAGGAGACTTAGAAGGGGTGAATCCCATAATTTGTGTATAAACTCTTCCTAAATTCTTGACTGGCTACTAAACTATAAATGTAGGGGGATTACAGTGAGTTTAACCAAAAAAAATAAATAAAAATCCTGCTGTAAGCTGAAAGAACTGAGATGAGACTTCGATTTTTGCTTACTGGAGAGCTGACAGTTTGAAGATGCCAGGCAAGTTATCTTCCTACTAGAACAAAAATCAGTACTTCCTACTAGAACAAAAATCAGTACTCTTTAGAGGAATATCACAGAATCCAGAGACTTTACAATGTATCATCCACATGTTCAGTATAAGTTTTTCAAAAAAAATCACTAGGCATGCAAACAATAAGAAAATATGAGCCATAATGAAGGTGTTAGGAGTCACTAGAAACTGACCCTTAAATAACCCAGGTGTTTCAATTAACAGGCAAGTTCTAAAAGTAGCTATTATAAATCTGTTCACGAGCTTAAAGTACTCACAAAGCATGAATAGGGAGGAAAACCTCAGCAGACAAATAAAAGCTATAAAAAAGAACTAAATGAAAGTTCTAGAGCTGAAAAATAAGTAATTGAAATGAAAATTTTACTGGAAGGGCATAGCAGCAGATTACAAATGAAAGAAAGAGCAAGCAAATTTGAAGATAGATCAACAAATTAATCTGAAACATGGAAAGAAAAAGATTAAAGAAAAATAAGCAGAGATTCAGTCTTGTGGAGCAATATAAAGCAATTTGACATTGGTATAGCTGGAGTTTTAGAAGGTGAGGAAAAAAGATGGGGCAGAAAAATTATTTAAAGAGCTAATGCCAAAAACCCCCCAAATTTGTGAAAGAAAAACTTTCAGACCCAAAATCCTCAATAAATTCCAAGCAGAATAATAATAATTTCTTTTTTTTTTTTGAGTTGGAGTCGCACTCTGTCGCCCAGACTGGAGTGCAGTGGCTGCTTCCAGCCACCACAGCCTCTACCTGCTGGGCTCCGGCGATCCTTCCGCCTCAGCCTTCCAAGTAGCTGGAACTATAGGCATGCGCTACCACGCCCGGCTGATTTTTTGATTTATTGTAGAGATGAGGCTCAGGCAATCCACTCACCTCAGCCTCCCAAAGGCACGGGATTACAGGCTGAGCCACCGAGCCCACATAATAATTTTTAAAATTGTATTTAGACACATTATAGTTGAACAGTTGAATTCCAGAGATAAAATTTTGAAAGCAGAAAGAAAAATTATCATATTACATATAGAGAAATAGCAATATGAATGACATCTGTCTTTTCATCATAAGCAGTGTATACTAGGAGACAATGAAAAGTCATCTTACAAATGTTAAAAGAAAAACCTATCAACCCAGAATTCTATATCTAGCAAGGCCAGAAATGAAGGTGAAAACAAGAAATATTCAAATGACTACAAACTAATCAGGAAATCTGTACTACAAAAAACAGTGAAGGAATATCTTTAGACTAATGGGAAATTAAATTATACCAGGTAGTAACTTAAGTCTACAGAAAAGAATGGTGAGCCCTAGAAATGATGAATATGTGAGTAAATATAAAATAATGTATATATTTGTTGCTTCTAATTTTAAAAGTACATGTAACTCTGTAAAGCAAAAATTATAAGCTATATTTTGGGGCTTAAAACACATGCAGAAGCCAGGCTCGGTGGCTCAGCCTGTAATCCCGTGCCTTTGGGAGGCTGAGGTGAATAGATTGCCTGAGCCCGCGGCTTCGAGACCTGCCTGAGCAACTTGGCGAGACCTCATCTCTACAATAAATCAAAAAATTAGCCGGGCATGGTAGCATGCGCCTGTAGTTCCAGCTACTTGGAAGGCTGAGGTGGAAGGATCGCCAGAGCCCAGCAGGTCGAGGATGCAGTGGCTGGGAATGGCCACTGCACTCCAGTCTAGGTGACAGAGTGAGACTCCAACTCAAAAAAAAGAAAATGCGGATATTTATTACAATATAGCACCAAGAAAAATTTCTGAGAGCAAGTAAAGGCCTAAATAAATTGAGAAGATATACCATGTTCATGAATTGGAAGACTTAGAATTGTTAAAATGTAGTTTCTCTGAAGGTTGATCTGGAGATTCACTGCAATCCCAGAAGGCCTTTTTAAAATTTTATTTTAATACAAATTGACAAGCTGAATCTTGCATTTAAATTGAAATGCAAAGTATCTAGAATAGCCAAAATAATCCTGAAAGCAAAAAACAAAGTTGGAGATCTACTACTACCTAATTTCAAGACTTATTGTGATGCTATGATGATCAAAATAGTGTGGTATTATCTTTATTGTTAATTTGTTTTAAATGAAGACTGTACTTTTTTAATAAGTAGTTTGAAGTTTTTATAAATGTTGGAATATTCGTCCTTTGGTTGAAATCCCTTGCCTGTCGGGCAAGGTGATTGGTTGAATGATAGACTTGATAATTCCCTTGAATTATTGCTGTGGTGCTTAACTTGCTTGTTTAATTATTAATTATTACATTATTAACTTCTTAATGATACTATTTTGACATTGATTTTTTAAAAATATTCATTTGGCACTTAATTTCTCATTTCAAT